GATGCTAGATCCCAATGATACCTTTTTTCACTCAATTAATTGTGAAAGTGTATTTGGATGGACAATTAAGGTATTTGTCAAAGTAACTAGGGCATGTATTTTATAAACGAAAGGTCGAGTAATCCACAACCTAAAGCGTACGCCTCAAGAGTGGTCGCTCAAGAATTCGAGGAGTGCGAGACTCCAAGAACTCCATTCTTTCGCAATTTAATCAAGAAGATAGTTTGGATTTGACGTACGGCTTAGAGTCGTACTAGGGTTTAGACTCGATCGTATGAAGGTGAGGAACGAGATCATATGGTTTGAAAAATTAGGAGGAATGACGACTACTCGATAAACGAGACGTCGGCCTCGTAATCAAATCAATCGGGACACCATTGGAATGCTCGATCCCAACGATACCTTTTTCATTCGAAATATGTTTGATGGATGGTTTAGACGCGGAAGAGTTTGAATTGAAAGAGATTTTGATTCAATCACGCGAGGGTGAGAAACGAGGTTAGACGAGTTGGAAATTAGGAGGAATGACGACTATTCGATAAACGAGACGTCGGCCTCATAACCACTTAGTCGGGATATCGTTGGAATGCTAGATCCTAACGACATCTTTTTCATTCCATTAATCATGAAATATGTTTGTTGGATAGTGAATATTTATCCAAATAATTAGATAAGGTATTTTAGGAACGAAAGTTTGAATGACGCACTATACAAGGCGTACGCCCCAATAGTAATCATTCTCAAATTCGAGGAATGCGCGACTCCAAGAACTTGATTCTTTCGTGATTTGATTTAGAAAATGATTTGAATTATTAGTGAAGGTAGATTAAACTAGGGTAGGCATATCGCTCGAATTAAGGTTCGCCTACTTTGAAAGATTTAGACAAAATTAAGTATTTTTATGGATGAAAGACGAAACGACCGCAACTCAACGCGTGCACCTCGAGAGCGGTCGCTTAAGGACCCAAAGAATGCTAGACTCCAAGGATCCACCACTTTCATTGATTAATTAAGAAAGTAATAGTTGTTTATATTAAGAAATTAATTATTCTCAAAATTTAATAACAATATTAATTAGGTGTTACAAATTAAATTAAGAAACTAGCCTTACAAATGTTCATTCTAAATAAATAAGATAAATAAATGAATGACAATGAATTTATTAATTATTGGACCAGTTACTTAAATAAAATCATGTTCCTTCCAATATTAATTAATTTATTAGTCTCTAACCTAATTGTAATGTAATTAAACTAAATAAATTATTTAAAAAACCTTGCATTCAGTTTATTCAAAATCATGAATGATTTCTTTTATGCAGAAGCCATAATAGACGGCCCACACGCATGCCATTTAATCAAATCCATCATATCTTCCCCTCCCTCCGTGTTCTCTCCTCTAAATCCCCTTCTCTTTCCAACTCTTTTAATTTACTCTCTCCTGAACCCTCTACTTTTTACTCTCAAATTCACAAGAATTCATCAATAACCTAAGAAAATCTCTCTGAATCGTCTCTCATAACACGCTCATAGATCACAAATACCCAAATCCTAGAACGAAAATACAACTTCACTATGATGAAAGTTCGGTTCAACCCAGTACTCATAGAGAAGATGAAAACGTGTACAGAAAATAGAGAAAGTACCTGATCCGAGCAAAGTCCGACGATGACTTCTCCGGCGATGTTCGACTGAGTTTTTTGTAAGCACCTCATTTATCTTCTATTTCACTTCCCCTTTTTGATTTGATTCTTTTTCTGCTCAGTATTCTATCTATGTCTTGATGAGAGGGCGTGAGAGCATGGCTGAGCTCACCTTGCTCAGAGTTCTGATGTGAGCTCTGAGGAGGTTTGAATGATGAGCTTTTAGGAGTGGTTAGAGATTGATTTTGGCTGAGTTTTCTTAGGGTTTTTTCGTATTCTCTGCTGCCGCCTTTCTAGGGTTTTTCTTCTCAAAAAATTCCCCCCCATCTCGAATTAACAATCTCTGTTATATAGGAGTGAGCTAGGGTTTTTTATCAGCAAGACGTGTGAATTTTTGGGTGGAAATTAGGTTGCTTTTTGGCTTTGGGATGGAAATCGTACTGTTTTGCTAATTTTGTCAATAGCAGTTCTTTTGAAAAATATCTGTTTTTTTACTCTGATTTTTTACCGTGTATTCTTGGGGTTTTTGACTGTGGTTACATGGTAACTTTTGCTTTGACATTGTTTTTGAATCACTTGCTTTTGAAAACTTATGCGAAACTTCTGAATTTGAATATGAATCCTTGGTTTCATGATCTATATTGTTCACTACTGTTTGCTTGACCTTCAAAACCAACCATGCTCTTGTAGTTTTTTCTTAATACTCTCCCATATGCGATGCAGGGCTCGTGAATGATCTTGTCAATGACTATCTTGCTCGGGATCCCTCAAACTCGAACCGCGATGTAGATGCTGCCACAGACTCGTTTTATGAAGAAAGAAAGTTGGAGGCCACGGCTTAACCATGAGAGATTTAGAACTGAGGTTAGCCTGATTCCCGCTTTACTCTGTGAAGTCATTGTGTTTTTTCTCTTTTTTTTTTGTGATGATGCTGCCTTTGATGTTAATTTTTCTGATTTCACAAGAGGTAGCTACAATGGATGACTTTGAATTTTGGTTAGGCGTCAACGGTCAATTGGTATAAGCAAACATAACACCTTGTATGGACCCTTCTAACTTTGAAACTCTATTGTTATCAATTCCATGTGTGTTGATTTGCTTTAAGGATTGTGTCCCATTTTGCGATGCTTTTACTCTTACCACTCTTGACCTTAATCCAACATCTGTTAGGTATCACCAAAGTATTTGAATCTAATTTGGAGGTCAAGAGAGTCAATACTCTGATTTTTTTAATCTCTTTTTATAACCGAGTTGCTCAAGGAGGAGCCAAACAAGGATTCAGGACATGGCCCAAAGTGAAAGTCAAGGACCTTCTCAATGTCTGCAGATGTACAGGCTACCTGTAGTAAGTCACGGCGCAACATGTCTATATCATTTTCTGTGCTGAAACCTCTCTGAGCTTTCCTTCTTAACAGTGTGTGAATATGTTTCAGGTATAATGCAGGATATTAGGGTGACACGACTTCGAGCCCTCCGCCGGCGCCATTGGAAAGACTCAGTTACAAAAAGAGACAAAAGATGCAGAAGGACAAGACGTAGAGGCCATTACTTGATAGATTCCATAACCAAATTTCACGTGCCGTATGAAATCTCCCACATGAGGGTATATTGCAGAAACACATTTTATAAAGTGGACTTTTTGGCTTGGCACGGAAACTATCTTGGTGAGATCCCTCTGTTACTTCTTAAGTGCACACCCAGACGTTCTTTTCTAAGAATGGCCAACCAATTCAAACTTTTGATCCAACCTCATCTTTGATCGCCTATAGAAATCACTCAAGAATGCAAGTTGGTCAGCATCCGTACTCGGTAAAGCTCTCAGGAATCCCCAGCATTATATCCTTCTATATTATTCCTACATCACTAATTTCTAACCTCCTTGATTTTTCAGGTGCAGCTTGTGAATTCGGGTTAAGGATCTTGCATTTGGGGGGTTGTGAGTTATCAAAATATGATCATTTTGTTGGTGATTGCGTTAGTCCTTCTTGTGCTGTCTTGGACTAGTTTGTGCATATTCACATTGCAATGGTTGGTGCAGCTCTGTGAAGGCTTTGGCATGGTGCAAAAACGACGGAAAAATGGTGAAAGCTTTGTGTCAGGAACTCAAACGGATCTATTTTTTGTGAGCCTTTTCGCAGATTCTCCACAACAGAAGAAATTGAAGTCATGGCTGTAATTGTCGGGTAAAACATCTTTATGTCTGGCATTCTTTTAACATCTTTGCTTGCTTATAAAGTTCCATCATAAAATTCAAATAACTCACTCATATAAGCTCTTGATTCTCATTTGCAGGTCGCGAGCTGTGGATCATAAAAACCATTTGGAAGCTTTGGTATGAAATTTGAAGAGAACCTTAGCAACAAGGGAGGTGTGAAGTCTTGGCATGAAGGTCGTTTTAAGTAGTGAAGAGCAAACAGGGGGTACTTTGAAGCTTATTGACATGGCATGGTCATGTATTGGTGAAGATGCTGGAAACTTTTGGAGCATGGACAGGACTGTATCCTTTTGTATTGTTTGAAAAAAATCTTCTTCAAAACTTATTTAACAATTGTGTTTTTTTCTTGTAATTTGTCATGATTCCTGCCCATACTGATCATACTACATATTTTCATCTCATGTACGCGTGATATGCGTGATGGGAGTGTAGGCCTAACAATGGTTTGATACGATGAGGAGAAAGACCAATAACGAAATCGCGCCAGCTTTTCCTTGCATGCTGCTTGTTATTCGAAGGTCTCAAGCTCCAGGAACTTCAATTTGCACAATGGACATCAATGTGAACTTGATTATGAAAGGCGGCTAGGCTTCTAAGGATACTCTAGCAGGATTTTGGAGCATGTAGCTGAATAGAAGCATCAATATTTTAGTGAACCATCTGGCATCTGCTGAGAATTCTGGCCTCATGTGATCACAGTATTGTGGACTTCTTCAATTCTTATGTTTCAACACATGAGGCAAGCATAATTTTGGGAGAGGTAGTTATCGAATTATTTATGGCACCTCTTATTGTGTTTGTTCTCTCATAATTCAGTCATTTTGAACTGATGCAGGTTTTGGTCATAGGATGGAAGAGTATGAAGTTGGAAGGTGGTACGCCTTGTTGGTAAATTTTTCATACAGTATCCTGATATGTCGATTGCTTCACATCCCTTTTGTGTTTGGCGCAGCTTCTTAAAGGACGATATACGCGAGAGATTGCCTGGCTGTGACAGCAGAGGTAAGTAAGCTTGCAATTTTAAATCTCAGTCCAAATGATACGTAGTACATCTGATAGCAGTGTGGTTTGCAATATACTACCATCAATTTAATCACAATAATTATGAGTTTTTTTTTATTGAACTTTGTACTCATGTCCCTTTCATTTTGGTCGTTTGGCCCGCCTAGGTGGTTTCCCAACCTCTGAAGGAATAGGTGATTCTGGGAGGGCATTGGTTATGGGCAATTCTCGCGTGCCGTAAGAAGAATCCCCCATAGTAGGCAATTGGTTTACCTGTTGCGGAAGATGATGTATATGCTTAACTCCCCGTGAAATTTGACATCCTGGAGGGCATGATGACATACCGCCATTAGCCAAAGTGTTTTCTCGAAACTGAAGGGTTGCTATTGCATTGTCTCTTTCCATAAGTGCGTTATTTCGTTCCGCAATTGCATTATCCCCCTGTAGGAATGCTATGTCCAGTTCTGCAAGTGCTGCTTTTTTCTCGGAAAGGGCCAGATTTCTTTCTTGAATGGCAGCGTCTCGTTCAGCCATGATTGCCATAATCTGCTTTATGGAAGGATGCTGGTGCTGATGTTGTTGCATCAACCACTGTCCCTGAGCAGATTTATATTGATCTGCTTTGTGCCTTCCATTTTCACGATCATCCATCAGAATTAACAAATGGTAGTAAAGTTAAAGATTGACTATAAGCCTCCTAATCCCACATCCAACTTGGCTAATCAAGCAATAATTTGCTAGAAGTCCATGCTTATACATAGAGACTACGAACTCGGTGACTGAATCTGAATCAACTCTTGAACAAGATTATCCAAAGAAGAAGAAGGAAATTGAAAACCCTAATGTTCGCTGCTGAGAATGTTTGTGTCGGAACAAGAGGTATGCCAAACTGCACCTTCTTCACGTGTTGTATTGATACAATTTGGATGAATGCTTATGAAAAAAAATCTTCATGCTTTCATTATTTTTTGACCAGAGAAGAATTGTATATGTACTTGCGTTACAAGTATAACACTTGTCGGTGGTGTCGTCCTGGTACCAGAGCGACTTAGTACAACTGTACTTCTAGAGAAGCGTATGATGTCATGTTCTTCATCTGATACTTCAAACAGATGTTCCAGTTTATTGCTTTTACGATCAGAAAGTAAGTGGTTAACCACATCAGATGATAAGGGATAAAATTTCATCAACAGAAAACTCTCATCAACCTTAGAATCCTCAACATAACAACTCAATTCTACTTCAATTCTATTATTATCAAGCTTCTGAATTTGGATGATCTCTTCTAATTTTTTTCAACTCTTTGGGATCTCCTTTTGACTGAATTGCAACAACTTGGGAAGCATGGAGAGAGACTACGCCTATGCTGAGATGCCTCTTGTTTGAGCCAAACCATCCTCTGAAGCATTTTTCAATTATTTTCATGACAACAGCTACTTCAACCATTGCTGGTAGCTGGAATTCATCTCCAACAAGAATAGCATGGTTTACGTTAGGAAGAAGTAGAGGTATCATTGATTCACCCCCTTTCAACTGCGCAACTTCATCTATCAAGTAGCTCCATCTTATAATTGTGCAGCAGAAAAGAACGCTTCTTGAGCAGTCATAGGGGTTGTGGAATTCTGATTTTAGTTAAGGCACTTTATTTCTTGTAACATGTATTTGTGCATCATGTAAAGAAATATTTGATCTTTTCAGCACTGGTCTGGGCTAGTATTTGAGGCATTCCCTTGAACGTCTTTGCTGTATCTTTGGAGTAGTTTATGAATTTGGATCAATGACCTTGTTTTTTCAATGATATTTATGTAATTTAAACCTTATAAGTTTCCTTGAACTTTCATATTGCAGTTTTGCTGTTAGTGCCTTTTTTGGAATGTGGGATGAAGTGGGTCGTGTGCTAGTGTTTTGCTTTTGACGTAATGCTTGTGTTAAAGATGTCCCCATATGAAAATGTGCATGTTTTCCTGATACAATACTTGATTTGTGACCACTTTTATGACCTGTATATATGGTTAGTATAAGAATTTGAAAATGATGCACCACGTCTTTTATGCTTAAACTGAACTTGCAATTCAACAATTGGTATTAATTTGGGAAATGGATTAGAACACGGCCACTCGAGATCAAATTGGGACCATTTGGGATTAAATCTATGAATCAATCATTAAGACTCACCCTAACTTGTGTTTAGCACATGACTTGGAAAAATGGGTTAAGAAATGATTTGAAAAGCTTTTGTTCAAAGTTTAAAATAAGCTAGCAAAGTGACATGGGTTTAAAAGTTTAATCAAGGTTTTCCATACTATTAAGTTATATCTTGTACGCGATTATAATTCGTATGAATTTACCATATACTATGACCATACCACGACCCCTTTAAAATGAAATGAACTAAGTCTTAAACAAATTGACTCTAGAAAACTAGCTCATTTGGTCATAACTTGATGTTTGAATGCTTAAATCCGAACTTGATACTAATTGACATAGCTTGAAACTCTCAGCTAGTACGAGTACGGCCGGAAGGTGAATTGCCTGTGTCTTAGAAACATGAATGATCATAACCTGATCCCGCTGAAACAAGGCTTGCAATTTGCGAACTAAATCTAAGTTTGTCACAAATTAATTTTCTAATTTCATTAAGACTTAAAATTTGCAAGCTAAATCCAAGTTTGTCACAAACCGATTTAGAATCCAAACATAGCTTGACGCTTGCAAATAATTCGAACAAAGCTTGAGGCCGAATCAACCGTGTCTAAAAGCATCATGAAAAGTACCATTGAACAACTTGAATTAAGTGCATATCGTAACGGGCAATTTGCAGTGAAGCTTAAACGACCTTTAGAGAAGTTTGTAATCCAGTTGAAATAGGGTTCAAATTTTTTGAAAACCAACAATCATGCCTTTTATGCCATTGTCCCTATCATACATATCTGATCGTGATAACGAGGACACATGTGAATTTGGATATAAAGGCTGGGGACACGTTCTTCGTCATAAATTGCTGGGGATTACAACCACAATGTGTACACACATGGTCTTTATAAACGAAGTCTCAGATAGTCATAGCCAGAAGTCGTGAAACAGTCAAACATCCATTAAATACCGAAGTAGGACAAATTTGGGGTATGACATCTGGGGGGAGAGAGTTTTGGATATGAAGCCAAAGGTTGGCTTGGGTTTGACTTGAAGTTTGGGTTTTGAAGCCACAAAGGGATATGGGTTTGAGTTGAATGTTTGAAGTTTAAAGCCATAAGGGGCTATCCTAATGTATTATTGAAGTTGAGAACCTCAAAGGGGATCCTATGGTTTTAACTGAGTTATAGTCTAAAGAGGATCCTAAAATTTGAACTGAGTCTAAGCTTAAGGATGAGTATTGAAATGCAACAGTTGTATGAATGCAAGTGTCATGAACATAAATGTCAAGAGAAACTTAACAAGAAAAAATTGATTAAGCTTTTAAAAAAATATAGTCATCAAGGATGAAATGAACATGATTGTGATCAAGCATGGTATATCAAGCAAGCACAAATAAATTCAAGCAAGCATATATTCAAGATGATCATGGATCAGATGAACATAGCAAATGGTAAAGAAAACGATAATGGAAGTTTATGGAGGTGAGCACATGAACAAGACATTTAATCATGGTTGAATCAAGGGTTTTGGGGAATCTAAACTTAAGTGGAAGTCCTAGTCATGTATCAAGATGGTTTTCAAAAGATTAGTTGAACAAAACCATAAGGTTTCAACTAAACATCAAATAATCAAGGAATTCTTCAAAAGAAACAACACCTAATCATGGTATGTATAAGTCAGGAAAACATGTTATGTATATTAAACAAGACTTATACAAAGTATATTATGACCATAAAGACACATATGTACAGTTAAGTCCAGGGAATAATTAAAAGGAATCATGAAAAGGTATGAAAAATACTTAAAAAGTACTAGTTTTCAACCTAATAAAAATGACAAAAAAATAAATATTTTTTGGGATTTTTTAATGGATTCTCAAAATATACAAGATAAACGAGAAGTGTGCAAAAAATTGGAGCAAAATAAATAATTTTGCTTGGTGAACCAATTGGAAGAAGTTGTGAGAAAGAGCATAAAAACAAGTGATAAAAAATATAGGGAAGGCTCCCGCCAAGGCTTGAACCTGTGCCCTTGGGGGTGATGGGCTTAAAATTTTACCACTGGGCCATGTGCCTCAGGTTTGAAAAATAACACGCGTGTTGAATAATATATTAAGCCTTTAGAGAGAAAATGTAAAAAAAAATAACATCAAAAGGTCTGGGTTGAGGGGATTCGAACCCCAAACCTTGGCTTTGCTCACACACACAAACTAAACACTTTACCACCATGGCGCAATGCCCAAGCTATTGGTAAAACCAACATTAATGATAATATATTAAAATAACTTGGTAAATTCAAAAATGGTGCCACCTCAATGATTATTTTCTTCTACGAGTTTCAACTTCCTCTTCTAATTTCAAATTTCCAAAATCTTCATTTCTCAATGAATTTGGATGAAGTAAACATCAACGTTGTTAGAAATTTCAACAGGAATTGAATGATATCATTTGATCAATCATACAACCGTATGAACCCTAAATGCAAAATCTGATATGAAATCCTATTTAACACAGTTTGTGTACAATTAACATAGGGAAATCATTCACTACATTATGACAAACAAATTGGTAACTCAAATGATTAGATATGATGCATGAACCATAGAGTTTAGATTTTGAAAAAATTACCTTGCAAGTGAGAATAGAATTCCTTAACAGAGGTGTTACAGAAGCAATCTCTTGATGCTAACAACTTCCTTTACATTCAAGGAGTGTGTTGATGTGTTTAAATTGACTTGAAACCTTCTGAAACTCCCTGGCCAACTCAATATGCAACTTAAAGCAAGTGAGATATGGAGGATGTGTTTCTGGTGTTACATAAGTAACGTGATGATTTCAATGACTTTTATATGATGTATATGAAGTGTTTGGATGCTTGGTTTGGTTGGAAATGGCCTTCAATTGAGAATTTAAGTTTTCACTTCTTTGAAACTTTGAGTTTTTGAAGGAGGAGGATTTCTTAGAAAAAAAAGTCTTTGTAATGTTTTGGTGTGCCTTGAATTATGCAAAATGATCTCTATTTATAGAGAAACATTTCATATATTTGGAGAAAAGTTTGGATTATGATACATGCTATTATCCGATGGATAATGACATGTACCTATTATTTGAGTTCTAAGGTACATATAACCTATTTCTCACATGACTAGAATCTTTATCTTCTGAGATTGAATTGATTATATTGCATCTCATCCCTTGGTGTTTTGATTAATCCTTAACTTGTTGTGGTGGTTTCTTGGCCAATTCACTATTTCACTTAATGCAAGATGACAAAACTCAACTTCATGGTTTTGCAACGATGTTTTTCACATGCAAATGGATAGAATTTTGAAGATTCTTGCATTATCTTGCAGAGCACATGGGATATTACAAGAGTAGTTTTCGATGTGTGTAGAGATCAAGCTTGCAAAGTCATCAAAATCGTGTACCAACATTGTCTTGCAATCTGTCTTGGAAATTCAGTTTCATCAAGACTTCTTGTAAAATGCATATCTTCTTGCTCAAGTAATATAAATG